TGGTGTTAGGTTGAAGCACGCCGCGGGCAGAGTATATTTTTCATTAGCGTCAGGTACCGGGTGAAGCTGTGACATCACGTTTAGCTGCTCCATGTCTTTCCGTGATTCCAGACCATCCTTTGACTTGTCTGTGTCCATTAAGGTAGCAATGAGACTCTCAAAGACATTCTTTTGCATGTACATAGCATCAATGGCATGGGGGACTTTTAAGTCTGGCCAATAAGGCAGATACTGAAAGAAGATCGATTGTTTCTTGAAGATGTGCTTCTATCTCTGTTAGTCCCATCTGGATTCTTCTTTCCATAGACGACGCATTTGTTTTTCACCATTCTGTACACGTGCTCTCTGTTATGACGTCTCTCCGGAGGGGGTTCAATCTCCGGGGTGTTGTCATAAAATCTAAAGAACAATTTGCTGTGGTACTTGTGACTTGTCTTTAAGAAGCACCGGTTCCTTAGGTAAACTATCTTCTTGGATGCATCTAGGAACACCCATGTAGTACCATCCAAGCAAACAAAGCATCCCGTCTTCCTTTTGATCTGTCCAGACAAAGCAAACAGCGTGGGGTAATCATTGGTAGTAACAAATATTATTGCTCTACATATGAAGTCCTCCTTTTGGACGGCTCCCCATGCCTCCATAGTCTCTCCATTTCTTGCATCAAAGGCTCAAGGAACACGTCTATATCAATGCCTAGTTGTTTAGGGCCAGAAATAAGAATAGTGAGGAGAAGGTACTTTCTCTTCTGACACAACCATGTTGGGATGTTGTACATGGTCAAGATCACGGGCCAAGTGCTGTGGTCGCTCATCCTCTCATTGAAGGAATTCATTCCATCAATGCTCAAGCCACACCATACATTCCTTAGGTCATCGCTGAATTCTTTGTGCTTCTCATCGATCCTTTGCCACTGACTATAATCAGCCGGGTGTACAATCTTATCATCATCCACCTTGCGCTCATCATCCCACCATGTCATGAGTGTGGCTTCTTTAGGGTTTAGGAAGATACGTCTCAAGCGGTCGATCACTGGCAGGTACCATATTACCAAGACAGGAATTCTTTTTTGCTTTGTATCATTGCCTAATGGAGTGTCCTCTATGGGCTGAGATTCTTGTACCACCTTTTTCGTACCCTTCTTATTCCTCTTTTTCCTCGTGGAGGCTTTGTCTCCACCGTAAAGGTCATTGTTCTTGTATCGACTGGCTCCACACTGGGGACATTTATCTAGTGGCTTGAACGTTTCGTCACGAAAAAGGATACAATGGTTGGGGCATGCATGGATTTTTTCAACCCCCATTGTTAATGGACTTATGACCTTTTTTACTTGGTATGTGTTGGCGGGAACTGAGTTTGGTTGTGGCAGCACCCATGACAGGAGACGCAATAGATCATTGAAACTACAGTCTAACCAGCCGTACTTAACCTTCAGGATGTGTAGCTCAACCACAAAACGTAGCAATGTCCAATGTGTCGGACAACCCTTTTCAACACCATACACAGTCTCCTTCGATGCTTTTGTCACCCTTTCCAAATTTTCTAGACCTTTTGGGCTCTTTAGTAAAATCTCTGGTCTAAGGACCCGAATCATTTCCTCTAAATCATCAAAATCATCTTCATCACCAACACGTGCCCCCCCATCATTATTGGCACCACCTTCGTCGTTACCATCCCAACCACCAGTATCACCACCTTGTTTATTGCCAAACTCAGGATCCATTTGTACATCAAGCTCTTCTGAGTATTGGGACAGGTATTTTAGGGTTTCGGCGTCGTCTTTTTCATCATCGTCGTCATTATCAACAACCGTTGTTTCACTATGATGAATCCGCACTTTGTAGTCCTCAACAAATTCTCGCACAATCAAATGTTCTCTGATGATACTCACATCTGTCCATGTCATAAGGTTCTTGTAATCTTTGCATGGACAAATAATTGTATCCTTATTCTCTGTCAACGTCGCTGCATGCTTTTCTGTGGCTTCAATAAATTTGTCCACCTCTTCACGGAAATCTACCTTGAACCTTAACGAACCATACATCCAAGACTTCCTATACTCCATCTTTTAAAATACAACAATCAAAGAAAATACATTAAAGGACTAGTAATTCAGATATATAAGTAAAGGAATCAAATTAATAATTAATTACTTAACAATAATTCTATATACTTCAGATATATATAAATATAAATATAAAATAAAATGTCATGAAGCATATCAAACACACATCATGGTAGAGGATAATTAATTAATGGCCTATTTATTAATAAATAATTAAAAATATATATTTATTAATTAAAATAAATAATTTCAAAGACAACAATTTGCAACAATTAATATTTTACCCACTACCTTTCATGCAAACCCTATTCCAATTTCATGAAACATAAATTTATAAAATTAAAATTAAAATAACAAACCCTAGATCTAAATCTAAATCTACATGTACATGAAACATACATGAAACTAGGGTGTAATCTCAACTAAAATCAAGCAAGATCGACTAATAAATGGTGTAATCTTATTTATCTAACTAATTTACACTAATAGCTTCAAAACTTGAGTCTAATTTGCTTCATACAAAGCTCAAACACCATAGAAGAGAGAAAACCAAAACTCTAATTACGATCACTAACCAACCATTAAAACTTCAAATAAAGGCTTGGAATAGCATTTTCTTACATTGTATAACCTCTCCATCAAAGTATTTGAGATCAAAACCTCCCCTTAGTAGAACAATTTTTGGGAGGAGCTCAAGGCCTCCCAACCTTTTTTGGTCGGGTTGGAGAGAGTGGCCCGACTTGGAAGAAGGTGACTGTTATATATACAGTGAGGATTCAACCGCCCCTACAAATGGACACAGTAGGGGCCGCTGGTAATAGCCGCCTGTACATACTAGCCGCCCCTATAAATCGATGCATTCGTAGAGACGGCTCGTATTACCAGCCACCCCTACTGTGCCATTTGTAGGGGCGGCTGCTGTGCTCGAACCCGAGCACGCCACTGTAGGGGCTGCTCCAATGCCAGCCGCCTCTAAAAAAAAGTCGTGTTGGTACAAACTGTTTTTCACGTAGTGACTGCTACGAAAGTCTCATCGGATTAATCAAATCAAGTCGATTTCAAGCAGTTCCAGATGCCACTATTTTCACTTGATCAACCATATTGATTATCGTGTGAGGTCCTTAGGAACGATGAGAACACACACAACCTCGATGGTGATCGCAGCTGGTACGATTAAGTTGTGCGTGCTGCGGCTAGGAGGAAGAGTGAACTAATCTTTTTGGTCATGTGGCTCTATTGACTCATACCTCATCTGACTTACGCCATGCTACAACTAATAAGAACAATAATAGATCAATCTATTAGTAGGCATATCAATGGCCAATGTAGGTCAAAATAAACTGCATGATCGACTCTGATACCACTTTAGGGGAACAACCTGGTATGCTACTCTAGCACAAAATAAACATTTCACCGCGTTCAACCAAGATAGCATGTGAGCAGAAGATCATAGATCATTGCCACTTTACATGCCTCGCGCCCGGCAGTAGCAACATGACCGGTCTTTTCTATCCGCCTCGCTTTCGTCACCGATCAACACTGCAGCAACAGCAGCGGAGTCTTGTCCACACGTGCGGAGGGGGAACGTCGTATGTTGGTGTGCTAGCATTGGGTGTGCGTTGGGAGGGAGAGAAGGGCGGCAGCTAGGGTATAGGTGAGGACGAGCACATCTCTTCCATTCCATGACCCCGTCCCTCATTATATGGACTCTACTAATGAGCTCCTAAACTGGAGGCCTATTAAGAGTCTAATGGATCAATATCCTATTTTGACCCATTTATGGATTCAATCTATAATGTTTATAATTGTCTCTTGGACACATCACCAATAGTTTTCACCAACTAATAGTAGCAAACCCCAATTTAATGAAGACTAAGTATTTGTTTCATCTATGTTAACATCTCTACTACATCTACATAGGCATCCATCATGTCGCATTCAGGCTCTGGTCAGTTCCTAAACTCTAACTCCGCACTAATAAGTTGAGATAGTGACCATATTATAGGCTAAGTTAAAATCAAGTTTACTTCCGAGAACTGTTTCGATAGCTTATGCTAGACCAAGTAAACATTGCAGCTTAATTTTATTTATGATTTTGATGGGCAGAACGATCCCGTTCCAGCTAGGTTTGTCTGGACTGGGTAGTATACACTACATATGAAAGGCCGTTTTATTTTGCGGACGAACAAGGTAGTTGCAGGCAAGCTCAGGTCTCGGACAATCCTACTACTCCATAGGCCAGCAAAGCAAACACGAACTGGCCAACATCATTTGCGCGTGAGCATGTATATATAATATATTTGCATGATAGTATTTGAATCGAATATATGCTGATTGGTCTCACTCGACAGCGACAGGGCACCATCGGCTGAGGTGGGTTAATTTGAGACGATGCTGCGCCTGAACCGCGTTGACTAACATAGTAATTTATTACTGTCCTAGTTAATATGCATGACTACGACCGGTAATAACTAGTACGGAGTAATATATAAATCCATACAACGTACACATACACAGTGACGACATCATGATATATGTGCGCGTGAATCGCAAAAAAAAAAAAAAAAAAAAAAAAAAGATATATGTGCGCGTGGGGGCTTTCTTCTAGCTAGAATCAACTGGTAACTATTCGATGCTTCTCACAGGAAGATTCAGACGAATTACTCATTACCTATATATAGCAATGCCGATGGCATCACCGGTGAGCGTTTCATCAATCAGCAGTAAATTAATTAGCTAGTGTCTTCGTACCACTTATTGAGTTATTGGTGCAAAACAGAACATAACATACATACATACATACATACATGGATCAGGGCAATTGCAAGAGAGCAGATGACGGACTGGGCCAGAGCCTGCTGGTGCAGCAGCAACAGCAGCAGATCAGCCCAAGCTTATTATTCAAGGCGCCCGAGGAGAGGCCGCCTATCGGAGGAGGATGAAGCCGCCGTCGGCCAAGGTCCACCACGTCCACCCGGCTCGCTTCCGCCTCTTCGTTCAGAGGCGCACCTGCTGCTCGCCACCACCACAACCCAAAGACGACGCCACCACTGCCTCGACCACCTCGGCAACGACAGAGCAAGAGGTGCAACGACCGCCACCAGATGCTGCTATTGGTAGCAGTGATGCAGCAGCTGCTGCTACTGCTACTGGGGCAGGACGCGTCGACGCCGCCACCTGGAAAACAATGCAGGACGCTTGCATGGCGTGGTGCTCCTCCAACCACATCCCGCTCAGCCCCGGAACCACGGCGGAACTATCATTCACAGTGCATCCCTGCAACGAAAAAGCCTATAGGCACTGCTATTGATCTAACATTCATTGCCTAGTGCCTCAGATCCCGACCAATCGCTGTTGGTTTTTTTTTTGTGAAAATCAACAGTGATAGGACCAACCGATACCGATAATCGGGTCTTCATTGTCGGTTCATATCACCGCCGGTTTTAAACAAGAACCTACAGTGATATTAGGTCATCACTACCGGTTTTGAGCTAAAACCGACATTTATACTGTCACTGCCGGTTCGTGGCTTGAACCGACAGTTATATGCTGCACAAAAAAATTCATAACTTTCTCATATGATGTTCAATGGAGATGAAATTTATATCAAAATTATACTACTCCACGAGTTCTACAACTTTCTAGTTCATACTTTTTATTTGAGATCGTTTGGATGTCCAACTGTACACTACAGGATACTGTAGATTTAATATCAAAGAAGTCCATATGCTTTATAGTCAGGATCTTGGATAGAGAAGCTACCAAAACAAAAGTTGTAGATCTCGAAAACTTATACAACTTTGTAGTTTACAACTTTTTTATTTGGAGTCATTACGATGTCCCTCTATTTGATTCGCATGGTTTCATAGAAGTTAGTACCAACTAAAGTCATATGTTCCATAGTCATAAGTGAGTGAGTAGTGTCATTGAAGAATCTCGGATGGGGAAGCAACCCAAACAAAAATTGTAGATATCAAAAAGTTATGCAACTTTTTAGTTGACAACTTTTTTATTTGAAATAATCTATCTACTGAAAATTATGTTTGATTTCTCTAATTTTAAATTCGAATTTTTCAAATGAAATTGGATGAAAAAACACCAAAAACAAGAGTAATAGATATCAAAAAGTTATATAATTTTATAGTTGATAACTTTTTCATTTGAAATCATCTATCCAAGGAAAATTATGGTTGAATTTTCTGACATTTGAAATTCAAATTTTTGAAATGACCTCAGATGGAGAAATGACCAAAAATCGCGTGACTTCTGAATTCGGATGTGCGACCGTGAGGCTGCCCGGTGGGTCCCTCCTGGTACTAATTTTTTTCCTATTTTTCAGCCCATTTTTTAGGTTTTCTGAAAACCACATCATTGTTTGTTTTCTAGAATTGGCACTGATGAGCGCCAACAATCATAGCTGTTCTGGTTGTGCCGGTTCAAAAACCTACACTCATGGGCTTTTTGAACTGGCAGTGATTTTGAAATCTGTACTAGTGAGGGCTATAGCTGCCGTTAATCCTCCTGATGCTGCTGACCTAGACCAGGGACAGGTTCATGCTTGTTTATGCTTATTTCGCCATAATAAGCCTCCAATGTAATTCACTTTCTTGGCGATGGTTAGAAATTCAACGCACCATCACCTAAGCCGGTGCAGGCGAGTGATCTAACACTCAGATCAGGTACTCAGCCCAGCTCACCCCCTCAGCAGGCGTAAGCGGTAGCGATTCATTCGCTATCGACCCTGCTCCTCTAGAGTCAGGGGGTGTTCGAGAGGGCCACCAGTCTGGCTCTAAAACCTCTGACACTCAGTGTCATGAAATTCTCTCAATACCCGGACCAGCTCAAAGTACCTTATTTCAGCGGATGTTTGCCCCTTTGGGGGAAACCGGAAAACTGGTTGGCCCATGGCTGTAATCAAAGTACGAGCTCCTGGAATTTGGAAAAAGAGTTTTATGACGTGCCCCCGCTGGTCTGGCTTTGTCTGGCCGCTTTCTTTCAGTGAAGTGGATGTTCACTCGTTCCACCCGTTATCAGCTCGAAGAGTAACACACACAACTACTGACAGCTGCTCACGCGTTCGTTTCTTGCCCGTAGCGGTGCTCGCACCGGGACACTGTTACATTGGCCTCAGGGATCTAGGACAACGTCCTTATTCTTCCACTAAGCGAGGCTCACGACAATTCATACCATGTTGTTTAACGGGTCTCGAAGAAAAACGTGACGTCCTTAGTGCTTGATAACAAAATGACCTTCAACAGGTCATCCCAAAAATCAACTGGCTTAGTGATGCGCGGGCGATGGAGGTGTATCTACCCCATCCTCGTTATTGTTTTACAACTAGGACTTAATGATGCGCAACCACTATTTACACGTCGGAATACATCGCAAACTAACTTCTCGAGTACAGCGGTATTTCTACCCTAACCTGTCATCCACGATGTCCTGGAAGCTACGCTTCCGGTTATCGGGTACACCACCCGAATGCGGCGTTGACAACTTCCCGAGGCCTACGCCAAGAAAACTACGTTTCCCGATATGGGGTGAACCACTCGAGTCAGGCACTTACAACTGCCAGGGAACAACGTTCCTTCATGTACGGTGTACCACCGCCACACTCGATGCTTGAAGAAGATTCTTGCTACCCGAGAAATGCTCTTGGAACTCGAACAACAACATACTGGCTCCCTAATACCTGGGAATATCTGATTGCACTGCTCAAAGCTTCGGCACCCGAAGATGCTCACTGTGTACTCATAGTACGCAGAACTTACAGGAGAGACTGTGAGGTCTCGATGGCTTGAAGCTATATGCTAGCTTATCATTATGTCCTACGGGAGCTATTGTTAGAAATATGGGCCAGGAGTACCTACACCGCCTATATATATGAGTACCAACGAGCTATCGACCCAGCAACCATCAACGAGGAGTCCCACGAGGGCTGACGCGATCAACCAACGTGGAGATCAAGGCAAATCAAGGCGGGCATATCTGGATAATAGCAAGGATCAATCTGTTGTAACAAACTAGAAAACAAACCGTTAGCCCGATCGCCCTGTCTGTAACCCTACCTCTCTTGCCTATATAAAGGCGGGTAGGAACATTGGGCTCGGGATCCAATCTTCCACCTATTCCATCTACCTCGTAGCTAGGAGCAACAACCCCTATAATTGAGCATACGAATACAAGAGCAGCAGCACCACTGGAGTAGGGATGAGCATGCACCACGTTCCGAACTAGTATAAATCCTTATATCTCGTGTGCTACCATCTGATTCCGTCTATACGATCACACTGCTGGATATTTTCAGAGCAAAACAATCCGGCACCCTGTCATAGACTATTGGTTTACTTTGCAAGCATGCAATCTTGTTCATATCCATACTAGGCTCTTATACCTTGCCCTCATTTGGGAAAATATAAATAACGATAACCTGAATACTTCCGGGTGAAATGCTACAATGATAGATCCGTGCGCTTGCGGATATTAATTCTATAATCGTTAAGAACTATCGTGTTGGTGTTCCTTGGCGGCATTACTAAGATTTATCCAAATCTCAGTGATGGTGCTAAGAAATACCAACTGGCATTTCTAGTATTGTTGCCACGAATGGATTCCATCTTCATACTTGGTGATTGCGCTAAGAAATGCCAAACTAATCAGATCCTATGTGATAGTTTTTTGTTGAGTGGCCTCTAATGCCCCATTTTTTTTTTCCAATGTCATGCCTCAAGACCCAAAATCTGTTTTGATAGCCTTGCCGAGTAAACCAACACTATGCATGCAGATGTATGACATCCACCCTATTAGATGAAGATAACCAATGGTACTGTATTTAGGCAGACCTACCAAATAACGATCAAAATCCATATAGACAAAACAATTGGACGTGCATAAAAACTAAACTCTTATTTTTTTTCTGAGGGGAGTTTGATAGGAAAAAGTAGAACATTATAGATAATCATATTAAATGTGAGATAGTATGTCCCTTCATCATGGTGATCTCCATTGCCAAGTTCCTATCCTTCTTATAGATAACCATGCTTGAGTCCTCTGTGAAAACACCAAAAACTATACTACTATTGCTAATAGCTAGTAAATGAATTACATGAATACATCAAGCATCACAAGTCGACACGTTAGCCATTATACAATGAATGAACAACCTCATCCCGGTTGTGATTAATGCGACATGCAAACCGCCAGAAATACACACATGTATCACATATACATCTGGCCCATACTATTCACAATATTCCCTGCAGAAACAAGTTAAGCGAAGAACCGGAATCCTACCGCGTGATGTCACTACACCAAAACAGACAATCACTATCGGTTGCTTTAGAACCGACAATGATAACACAATCGGCAATAAAAGACATGGTACTATCACGGATGGATGAAGCCACGAACTGGTAGTGAAAAGTCCACGGACTGCTAGTGATAGCCTATTTTCAACAAAAAAATTATCTTTTTCATATGAGATTGGACTAAAATAAACTTTATATCAAAATTGTAGAGTTCAAAGAGATCTAAAACTTTGTACTTGACAATTTTTTAATTTGAGATGGTTTACATGTCCAAATATTCAATATAGATTCTCGGATCGGATTTGAGATTGTCAAATATATAATATAAGATTTAAAATTGTGTAATTAAAAGAACAACATCAGTTATATAGTCATAAGTGTTGTGTAGCTCAGATGGTATGGGCGTTTGAGAGAACGTGAACATTGAGGTCTCAAGTTTGAATCCTAGAAACATCTATTTTTTTTTTATCTTTTATCATCTATCACTGTCAGGTTCTAGAACTGACAATGATAAGCCACCCCATCACTATCGATTATCCACTACCAGATGCGATTCCGGGCTTCCGGCAGTGATAGGGGGTTCTGACCCGGCAATGATTATAAAATTTGGCGTAGTGTGTGAAAAAGGTTGTTCTAATAATCTATATGTTGTACACATACGACCATTCCTAAAAACCTCTCCGAACTCCATACACGCTTCTTTGAAACTGCTATGAAAGTCTCATCGGATTAATCAAATCAAGTCGATTTCGAGCCATTCCAAATGCCACTATTTTCACTTGATCGACCATATTGATTATCGTGTGAGGTCCTTAGGAACGATGAGAACACACACAACCTCGATGGCGATCGCAGCTGGTACGATTAAGTTGTGCGTGCTGCGGCTAGGAGGGAGAGTGAACTAATCTTTTTGGTCATGTGGCTCTATTGACTCATACCTCATCTGACTTACGCCATGCTACAACTAATAAGAACAATAATAGATCCAATCTATTACTAGGCA